AAGTGGCCTTCCAGAATCAAAAGGGCCGAACTCGGATCACTGGGCTGAACGCTTGGTCTGGGAGCGTGCACCTGTCTCTCCCATGCGGACACCTCCAGTCCCGCCCCAAGTCTTCCGCCTGAAGTGACATCCTTTGACAGGTTAAAGACAGGAAGGGAGTTTAGGTGTGCAGGTGAACTGATAAATAATGACAAGAAGAGAAAGGATGCTACAAGAGGGAAAAGACTGCATACTGACCCAGTGGAATCAGAGGAAGGACTGAGGTCACTGGGGGGCTTCTCTCAGCCTCTTTCGTGGATGTGAGAACACAGGGGCTGCTCTGATTCCCCAAATCGCCACGCACACAGGCTACCTGCACTGAAATGCCTCAGAGCCAGGCCCTGTGGACCCACGCGGGCCAAATGCTGCGACAGAGTCACAAAGATGGGAGAGGAAGGAAGGACAGTGGTCAGGAAAGCGGCACCAGAGGGCTCTGCTCAGTCCTGGCAGGAAACGCTGTTCCCTGCAGTCAAGCCTAAATGCTAAGTGAACCACGGCTGGGAACAGAGAAGACTGATAGTCCCCAGTGCCCCGTGCGTGGCCGAGGGCGAGAGGACGCACAGGTGGACTGAGATGTCCTAGCTGTGTGCTGGCCACGCTGAAGCCCCCATTCACTCAGGACACACGAGGCACTGAGGGGGCAAGAGCACCTGACAGGTGTGCCCACGCTGACCAGTTTCCTGTCACACTCATTCATTCACTCAAGACACAGGCACCTGACCGTTAATAATCTCTACCTGAGCGAATTATTCCTTCACTCGAAACAGGATCACTAAGGAGCTTGGTGACTCCTCTGGCCTGGGTGCTCTGGGCCCCAGTGCCACCTACGGACAACCACACACTACGTGGTGTGAGGCACAAGCTCACAGGCTGTGCGTCCTAAGTCTGCTCCTACAGACAGCAGACTGCCCCTCCGCAGCCTCTACAATCTAGCTGATGTTGTCTACTGTTACTCCGCATTTAAAATCCATATTTTAAGTGTGTGCTTAAATGGTATCAATAGCAATTAGAGAGGAGAATTCGGATTCCACCGCAGATGGAGTTAATTGTTACGGCATCGACCTCGAGAACACGCTTTCTCCAAATTACACCGCCATGCGGAGCGGGGACGCGGGGCGCCCTCTCCCCTCCCGCGACAAGACATTTCGTATCGAGTGCACTGGGAAAAATGGCAGTTGTTGCAGAATCCATCCAAAAAGATTTTTTTTTTTCTTCCTGGGAGTAATTAAAAGATGCTTTTCTTGACTAATGGTTCCCCGGTTTAGGAATGGGAAGTCAATACGGCTTTGCCGCCGTCAGCTTCGATTGATCACAGTGCTGGTAAGGTTGGACCGGCAGTGCTCAGGGTGGCTGAGAATCTCTGGAACCAATTATGAGCCGGCCGAGGCCGCCTGACCAGGGTGCAGGGGCCAGGAGCACACGGCCTGCCAGCCGGGCGGAGGCACCTGTTTCCCTAACTCCCTGCCCGCAGGACTGGGCGACTCCCAGGTTCGGTGGTTCTGGGGAGTGGCTGTTTCCCTGGAGAAGGATCTGCTGTGTTCTATGTCCCCACGGTCCTGACCCCGTATATGTATGTGTGTGTGCATGCGCACGCGTGTGTGTTTGCAGGGAGGAAAGCACGCTCCTAATTATATCCCACTGTCAGAACGAATCCTCTGAACAAACTCGAACGGACCAGAGCTTCTCAAGGAAACAAAGAATGAGACGGGAGGATGGCCCTGGGGTCTTCCTTGGCTAGAGATACACAGTTACAAAAATAGTGCTTTTTAGGGTTCCATTAGGGCCACATGAGAGACCCTTCCGGCTGTTTGTTCTGACCGTCATGGGTTCCGCGGAGACCAAAGGGGGTGGGTTGTGGGGGTGTCTCCTTGCCGTCTTGGAGAGGCAGGATCCAGACTGGATCACAGACCAGAGTCCTGGAGATTCTAGCCCAGACCTGGAGTGCCTCGTGTCTATTAGCAGACGCCGCAGGCGGCAGGGCAGGTGGGGGTGTCTGAGTGACTGCGTGTTCTACCAGGATGAGATTCTTTCATTTCTCACAGGGCATGCAGGATGGCTTGTTCCCCCAGGGCCACGCCTTCCGACGGCCTCCCTGCCTCGTCGCCATCCCTCCCAATGACGCTGCTGCCTGCCTTTGGTCCTTCTGGGAAAAGCAGACATACACGGAGGCATAAACAGACCCAACAACTCACCCTCTGCCCACCCCTCAGGTGCTGTTACCCACCCTCTCACCCCCAAGGCTCCCCCAGGCCTCGGCTCGGCTCTGGCACCACCCATCCCCACAACCAGCCCCGTGGGAGACCGCCCCCCACACTGACTTCCACATTTAACCCCAATGGGCGCCCTAGGGCTTCCCACTCCTGCCTTTGCCTAACCACCTCCCCACCCCCAGGCCTGGCTATCACCCCACATTCCCGAGTCCAGCTCAGATGCTGTTTCTCCAGCGAGACTTCCCTGGAGCACAGCGGCTATGAGAACCCCTCTGTCCTGTGAACTTGGCCCAGCCCTGGCCTCCTCGTCTGGCCCCAAGGGCACCCCCGACCACAGGACAATTACAAGAACCATTTATCACTTCTTTTCTAGAAGGTGGTCAAGAGTATTTGCTGAATTTAATTAAACATGAAACTCCCTGGGAAAATTACTAAAGGCACAAAGAAACATCGAATTCTTATAGGTGCCTATCTTGTTAAGAATGTACAGATTTCTTTTTTTTTTTATATATATTTTATTGATTTTTTACAGAGAGGATGGGAGAGAGACAGTCAGAAACATCGATGAGAGAGAAACATCGATCAGCTGCCCCCCGCACATCTCCCACCGGGGATATGCCCGCAACCCAGGCACATGCCCCCGACCGGAATCGAACCCGGGACCCCCCAGTCCGCAGGCCGACGCTCCATCCACTGAGCCAAACCGGTCTCGGCCAGATTTCTGAATTCCCAAAGTTACCTGGAAACACCAGGTAACACGCCCCGCCCCCCCCCGCCCCCGCCCGGCCTTGGAGAGGAATTCCAGCTCTGCTCGCTTTTTAGGGAAGCCCAGGATGGGGTTTAATGGTAGCCACCCCCTCTGCGAGGAAGGGAGGCTCTGATACGACTCTAAAATATAAAGATGTGATGTGCGTGACACTAGAGAGGAGGGAACTGACACACTCAAGGGCCTGACTCACACACAGGAATCGGAATCTAAAACACCCCCACACAGTCTGCACTTATGAGAAGATAACCTTGATGTCAAGTAGTTACCATTAAAAAATTAACCCACATCCTTGTTTCCAATCATTCTAAATGCTCCTAATTATGACAGATGAAAAAACAAACTTTTCTCAAGTTCATGATATGAACCACAGAATATATGCTTCTTTTATATAGAAACAGGTAAAATGCATCAGGTTAATTTTTTCTGACCCATTTTAATTGTTTTTCTGTACTCATACATTATACTCAATCCAATTTCCACTCATTTTTCATTTTCAGACCTAAATATTTTCCAAGGAAACTATATCTACAAAAAAAATATTATAACAAAAATTAATCTCTTCAGAATGCTCCTAGCTGGTGACCAGGCCGATGTTCACATTCGTGTTAAGTCAAGATAAATACATTTTGAAAGTGCACCCTCTGTTCAGCCTATAAGACACTTGCCCATGTTCATCACCAGCTGCAACTCACCTTCCAAGAGCTCACACAGCAAACCTCCGCTGTGGGAGACACACGCCCCTCGCACCCTTTCTCGCCCTCGCCCTCCGCAGCAGCCCTGACACACGGAGCGGGACTGCTCCCGCACCGGCTTCATTCTCCCAAGTGAACCCAAGGTGGCACCAGAAATTCTCTCTTCAGTGTTAACGACCCAGAGCCCACCCACTCGGAGCGTCACTGTCGCCCAGCGGAGGGACCCACTTCTTGCCCTCACAATGGCCGCTGCTTGGACTTTCATGTTGTTTGATTAACAGCAAAAAAATTTAAAAAGTGCTCAGGTTGGGAGACCTATGGCCTCCCCCTGCTCCTCCACACCCCTGAGATGTGAATGCTGAGAGGGAACCCCACACCCGACTTCAGAACCGAACACCCGGAGAGGGAAGCGTCCGTCCTGCCTCCGGGAACGAGGCTCCCTCGGAAGCCGTTCTATCACCCCTCAGGCGCATTAAATATGCATGTGTGCTCAAAACCGGTTTATCATAGCTGTAAGTGGAAGACGAGAAACTAAATGGCCTCAAAATAAATGCGATTTTTACACTGGGTAACAATTAACATTAATGAGGAGTCACTGTACATTATGCCAAATTTGTCTGATTAAACAAGTTAGAAATATATTTTTGGAAATAAAATATATTTTGTTACCATGAACTCACTTATTTTGTGTGTGTATGTCAATTGAGTAGATGCTTATCAAAGATGTAAAAATAACAAAATTAAAGAATCAGAAATTCATAATTGGTGTTAATGGTGCAGCTTACTCCTATTAGCAATGTATTAATTAAAGTGATGCATTCATAAGTTTAGAAGCTTAATACATTTCTTGGAGGGGAGAGGAATCCCCAAGGTGAAAAAACAAACATAAACAATGAAGGCGTTTAAATTGGCCACATCTGTGAAGACCCATTTTCAATACAGATCTCTGTGCTGGTCTAAGCAGCACCCCTACAGGTTGCCAGGGCAGTTCTAATTGTGTCCAACTGTTGGCAAAATGCCCCCAAACCACACCCCTTGCCTTGTTCTTTTTTTTTTTTTTAATATATATATATTTTATTGATTTTTTACAGAGAGGAAGGGAGAGGGATAGTTAGAAACATCGATAAGAGAGAAACATCAACCAGCTGCCTCCTGAACACTTCCTACTGTGAATGTGCCCGCAACCAAGGTACATGCCCTTGACCAGAATCGAACCTGGGACCTTTCAGTCCGCAGGCTGACGCTCTATCCACTGATCCGAACCGGTTAGGGCTCTTGCTGTGTTCTTACCTTGTGGAGTCCAGCGAGGGCTTCGTCCGCCCCTGGCTATTCTCTTCCCAGACGCTGTTGGCCAGCTCATTCCCAATGGACGACATCACCTTGATGAGCTCGATGGGCCAGTCGTCCAGGTCCAGAGATCGAACTCGCGAGAGGTGGGTGCCGAGGTTCCGGTGGATCCCTGAGCACTCGATGCACATGAGGGCTCCCAGGTTCAAGCTGGCCCAGTTAGGGTCTGTGGGGAGAAGAGCAGAGGGCCCCATGGGATTAGACCATCACTGCTCGTTCACTGCCCTTGGCATCTCAGCAACAAAACACTAGCCAGTCAGACTTCACATCCAGACCCCTCCCTGGGGTCTGGCTTGAAAACACTCTCTGGTCAGTTCTTGCTGCTATCTAAGGTGTCTTACAAAATTGAACAGGTTGGTGGCTAATCTGAAATATCTGGCTTTGGAAATCCTTGGAACTTCCCGCCCAACAGACAATTGCCATTGCCGGTTTGGGCAGTTCCTCGTTTTTGCCCATTGGCAATGTTGCCATGCTCTGCTCTATAAACAGCGCTGTGAGGAACACCTCTGAAGCTAGATCTGCCCCCTGACCCCAGCTTAGTTCCTGGAGGGGCACAGCCAAGTGAGGGGTGTCTGTGCCATTATGTACGTTGCCAAATAGTTCTTCGTCACTCTGGATGGGATATCTCCCAGCATGTTCACCCAAACTGGATAGTTTGACTTAAAAATAACGAAGTCTTTGTCGATGTGTCATCTACTGGTCTCTGATCTCAGCCCCTCCACCTCCCCTTGTTCTCTGAGTAACTGCAGAAGCCAGAGCTTGGCTTGCATCGGGCTATGCAACCTGCTGTGTTTGTAACTTGACCTTCAGGCTCTACATTTCTCCCCATAAATGGGCCCTCCGGTAGCACCAACTATTACAGAGCCACAGGAACTAAAAATGTCAGACGCAGGGGGACCACCCAATCCGACCCTCTCCACTGAGGAGGCCCAGGCCCTCCCCGGCGCCCACTTACTCTGGGTCTCGCAGTCCACACAGTGCGAATTCCCTCGGATGTTTCGTATCGACTGCAAGGCCATGGCCTCACTCTGGCTCGTCAGCCGGGACTGGACATACAAGAAGACACACAAATGCAAGATATGAGAAACCTGAGAGAAACACAGATGTCTACTCATAACGCCAAAGAAAATTCAAACAGATTGTGAGCAAATATGGCAGGAGAGCAATTTCAAACAATTTTTCCTCTTCCAGTATCTTCAGGAAAAAGTCACGCTGAGAAGGCGCTGTGAGGGCACCCCCATGTTAAGATTTATTGGGTGAGCATGATCCTACGAGACATGACGACAAAGGCACGTGCTGGACCCTTTGTGACGGAACGGGGACAACCCGCCGCCTGGGGAACGTAACTGGCTAATGTGCTTTCACTGCCATGTGTCTACTTGGTGTGAAGAGTACAGAATGAAAAACAAGTTTTCCGCTTATAAGAGAAGGGTCAGGCTTCATCGGCATCGTTAAGACAAACATCATGATTCCTGGTCAGGAGACCACGGCCACACCACCCGTGACGTTTCCTCAAACTGTCTCAGTTGCTACAACAACAAAGTCACTAGCCTGCGTGGGGCAGGGAGGAGTGGGACAGTGGCTGGGCGTGGTTCTTAAACTCACACTTGAATGTCTTCTCTAAGCACGTGAGGACAACATCGAAGGAGGAAAAGAACATGAAAATCTATAAACTATGATATGATCATCACAATTAAGTTTTATGAACATTTTGATATCTATTCCTGCGGTCTTTCCCTAAGCACATCTGTACACAGGTGAGTGCTTCTTAACAAGCCCCATGGTATGTATTGCTTTGAAACCTGCCAGGTTGCCTAATGAGATACTGTCGTCTCTCCATGCGGCCCTGTTTTCTCCAGCATCGCCATTTAAATGGCTGCATGATATTCCACTGCTGGTAATTTATGTACGACGTTCACTCTGATGGACATTCAGGTTGGTCGCAGTTTCTCCATTGTAAAGAGTGCTAAAGCTCTGCACAAACCCCGGATTATTCACTGAGGGTCAATTCCTGGACGTCGAGACGTTAGGTAAAGGAATAGGTACCGTTCTTAAGGCTTACATCGCATACATTTAATGTAATGGTAAAAGCCAACTACAGTTCAGAGGACATTTAGAATAAGCTTGATTTTTGTTTAAGAATCCTTCATAATCAAACTATCTTCATGTTTGATATGAAATAATTATTGCTTACCACCTAATAATGTAATTTATTAATTGCTACTGTCTAGGTAGCACCATGCCTTATTGGGGTTTTATGCCTTTGGCTAGATACCCAGGTATTCAAAGTATGTTTAACTGTTTACTAGTATGTTGGCACCTCGAGTGAGTGTGTGTGTGTGCGCGTGCGTGCACGTGTACACACAAGCAGGGATGTGTCGGCTGTCTCTCTCTCTCCCTGTATCATTTCTGCAGCACATGGGTGTATATATTTGTCTCCACCTGCTATCTACTGAATTATCCACAGGCAGCTAAGACACCTTGTAGCTCATTCTCAACTAGTCAGTATTTTGCCTTCAAGCTATTGTTTGTGGGTATTACTTCCATGTGCACATGCGCACACCTGTTAAGCCACGCCCAGGCGTGAGCCTTCCCTCCTCCCGCTCAGTGAGTCCGCCTGGGAAAGCGCCTGCCTGTGCGTGCACACGTCTAGGGGGAGAAACGGGGCCGCACTTCACGGCTGGTGTGCGCCTCAGGCCCCAAGGTGATGCCTCGAGTCTCACGGTGAGCGGACAGGAGCTGGCCAGGTGTGAGGGAAAAGGCGACATGCTTCCAGATCCTCTGATTCCGTCTGACCGAGATGCTATGATTTTGTACTGAACTTGGAGATGTGTCTGTTCAACAACCGTGGCTCTCCGAACTCCTGCTCTGAAACTTCATCCCCACGTTCGGTGGGTGGCACGCGCCGCGGCTCCCCACTGGCGAGGAGACCGGGGCATCTTCGTTCGCTCTGGGAGCACATCTGTGGCCGTGACTATGAAGCTGAGATGCTCGAGAGTGAGAGGCAGCAACTCAGCCCACCTTGGTATAAAACCACTTTTAAAAAGAGCAGCAAATTACATTATAATAATAATGACTGGTTTACCCTGGGTAAAGAGGGTAATAAAATAAGACACTCCATCTTTCTGAGAGATACACTCCTTCCCCTGACAGAGCTGCACATAAATCATGGGCAGAAATTTCTTTAAATTGTTACAAATGAAACTGCAGGTCGGTGGACAATATCCTTTCTCTTCGTTTCGAGTTAACTATAGTTTGAAAATGCTCTCTAGGACTCTAAAATGCCCCAGAAAAGGAGTTAAAAACATCCAAGCATTAAAACAATGAGGTTGAAGAAATCCCTGTTGGGAAGAAGAAAATGGGAAGAATGACTCTTGTTCCTGGAATATCACGGGGCAGGGTCTACAAAATGCAGAGTGAAGTCATTTAGCTTCTCCTGGCTACACAAATGCAAAGTAACTACCTCTAATTACTAAAAAACACACAAAAAGTCCAAGGCAGAGCTGAGCAAATGGACAACTTCCTGCATGCTCACACATGTGCTCACGTATGTGCTCATGCGCCCATGTGTTTACTTTTGTTTACGTCTGTATCAGGAGTCAGTGTCTAAGTTGACAGGGACTTGAATTTTGTGTATTTATGAGAACAGAAAGGTGCATCTTTTCTGTCTGCATTCTTTTCCTGAGTGTGTTCTGCCTGAAATAACAAATGTGGCCACAAAAGCGACAAGAATCCCAAAGATTCCATCACTTGCAATAAAAAGGTGGGATTTGGGATTAGTTGAGAGAATACAGATTTCAATGGGATATATGGCCTTAGGAACATGGTTAAGCTACGAGACTGACATGATATTTGAAACGTATTGGCACAAAGTCTTCCCCAATCTTTTCTACCAGTTAGCTTTTTGCTTAGAAAGAGGACTAGGATCTTGTCAGTCACGTGTCAATGATGCTTTGCGCTCCCCTGGGCATCATTAGGCCTCCACATCCCTTTAATGAGCAGCTGCCCTTGATTTTGGGGGGCAGCTTCCTAAGGGCCTTACCTTTATCATAAAGATTTTTTAACATGATTTTTAGAGAGAGGAGAAGGGAGACAGAAAGAGAGAGAGAGAGAAACTTGGATATGAGAATGACAACATCAATGGGCTGCCTCCTGCACGCCACCCACTGGGGATTGAGCTGTAACCCTGGCATGTGCCCTGACGGGAATCGAACCAGCAACCCCTCGGTGCATGGGGCATAGGGCGATGCCCAACTAACCAAGACACACTGGATGGGGCCTTACCTTATTCTTGCTGCTCTCACATGACTGCAAGCTGGCAAGGATCTGGCTCTCGATGGCTTGGACCCACGCGTCTCTCTCTTCATACGTGGTGGCTTCAAAGTGCCACGTCTGGCCAGTGAGGGACACAATGATAAACTCAAAGTTTTCTTCTTGCTCTGAAACAGAGGGGTGGGGATGAAGAGTTTAGCTTCATGTGACCGAGGGCCCTCCGCCAGTCCGCAGTCATAAAGGTGCCTTTGGGTTCCACCGCGCCCACCACAGCGCAGAGCTGAGTCCACAGACCGGCAAACACTCAAGGTCTGGTTCCGCAGCCAGAGTGGTTCAGCGAGGTCTCCCTCAGTGCCCAGGGGGTGAGGAAAGGAAAATCCGCGTGCGATGGCAGCATCTCTGTGATAGGCACAGCAGAAGCAACACAGGAACGTGCCCTGTAACTTATGCCAACCATCCACACCTGTGGGGCGAAACTAAGTTAGTGCTGAGAATCTCTGGGTACAGTTTTGGGGTCTTGGTTGCATGTGTGTGTAGACCCACACATGCACCACAGCAGGGAGGGTGCCTGTGTTTCTGTTCTTTTCCGTCAGGAAGTCCCTTCCAGGCTGCTGGGATCCCACTGTCTCTCCTCATCTGGAGACGATGGAATTAAAGCCTTCCCATGGGCAACAGCCTGGACCAGGATGGTTCGAACTTGCATCAAATCCTGCCAGGCCGCTTCCCATATCGGGCTCTTCGGGCGAGTCCTGGAGCCTCCCAGGCCCCTTTCCTCACCCCTACAGCAGGGGAAAGGCCACCCGCTTCGGAGCGTTTCCCACTGGCTAAGTGACATGTGCTAACTCAGGGGACACCCCATAAATGCCGGCATCTGTCCTCTTTCCTCACTACCCGTCCCTGCCACAGAGCAAGAGAGGAGGCGGCACATACAAGCAGCAAGACCCGCCACAAATAACCGCTAGGCACTCTCCCGCGGGTCTACTGGGCGCCTCATCTCATTTGATTCCAAGTTTCCAGTCACTGGGCTGTGAACTCACTGCATCGCGTCACCCGGTGAGCAGTTCTTATCAATAAGGATAAGAATCAGCCGACCTGCCTAGCTGACCGCTGCGTCTGTTAATTATCATCTTAGTCATCTGACCATGGCCACTCGGCTCACCCACCTACTGGGCCAGACTGCCTCCCACAATCTCCGCTCCTCTTGCCCATCTCCCAAGTACCCTCACCCCTCACAACCCCCGACCTTCGGCCCCTGACCTCTGCTGTGCTCCCTGCTGCTCTTGGGCTCTTGAGACCCGACTTCACCAGGAGCCCTCGGCCCCCAGACATGGATGCTCACTCAGCTCCTCCCAAAGCAACTACAACCACATCCGGCCGTCCTCACCTCCTTCCCTTCAGTCTCAGGAGGGAAGCAGCCCTCACTCTGTGGCTGGGAGACCCCTCCCACCTCACTCCATTGACCCCAGGGCCCAGGAAGGGGATGCTCATGTCCTCCCTAACACCAGCCAGGCCTGGGGGACCCCTTCCCAAACCACTGCGCGCATTGCCAGGAAATGGGGCTGGGACACTGTTGTGTGAAATCTTCACATGCTCTGATGTTAATGGTTCTGTGTTCAATGTAAAACCAGCACTGCTGCTCTTTTAGAAGGTAACCTCCTGGTGAGTTGTTCTTAAATCTGTGGAACTGGCTCTGAAGGGTCCCGAATGTAGGGAAGGTGGACGCCCCTTTTTGCAAAACCGTTGTGGGTTCATTTCTTGCAAATTTCCAAGGGCACTGCTCTCCAGTACCTACTCTATGGCTGCTCCATCACCTTCAAATCAAGCTCCTCCCCATCCCCCACCTCTTGTTCTTTTTACTTCTGGACACAGTTTTCCTTTCCCGGCACCTTCCGTGCCACTAAATGTTTCTGTCTCTTCGTTCAGGGGGGTCTCTCGCCTCAGAGCTATCCCCAGATGGAAGAGACAGCTTCTGGGGTGCACTCCCTGGAGGGCTCAAGCCCCGTGTGGCCCTGTCAGGGGAGCCTGCAGGGAATTCAGCATCTTGAAGGTGATCGGTAGGGCCCTGCCAAGTCTGAGCTCCTGTGGGAGTGACACACGATGGTTCGCCTCTCCTTCCTAACTCCGCCTGGAGCAGGAGAAGGTGATCCATTAGCAATGTCTGTCCTGGGGCAGGAGGGGGCACGCGGCAGGCCTGCCATCTGTTTACTCTGCTCAACTGAAGATTTCTTTCTAGCTCTGGAATCACTTCTGACATGGGACAGTTCTCACGTCTGTTTCTCTGACCCCAAAATTAAAATGATTTAAACAATGCACACATACTGATACTCTTCAAATATTTGGTTCTCACATCAAATTAACAGGCACACACCAGACTGGCTTTAGTCCACAAATGCTCCTCTTAGGGTTTCACGATTTGTTACTGATTAAAATGTTAATTCTAGTCATAAAATTCACAATCACCCAGATTCCACACCCTCCCTCTTCCCACTGCCATCTGATCAGTGACAACACTGTTCACCAACGTCCCCCCTCCCCCCACCTTGTTGCACCTTCCTCTCCATTTCCTTCTACCTCGGTCTGCCCAGCCATCCAGCCGGTAAGATGTGTGGCAGGGCCTTCCCTACAAAACACACTTTTTATTCCAATGACTGACCTGCATGAGGCATAAACTCCAAGCCGCAAGCCCACCCTCTCCCTCCCATGAGTCAAAAACCCAGAACTGTGAGAATTAAGTGATAAATGCCTGCAAAAGCGAAAGCTAACCTATGGACCAGACATTTCGGTGGCTCAACAAATAAAGTTACAAGAAGGTGCCAGAGGGAAACCCCAAGTCCTGCATCCAGTGATCCCAGAAAGCATGGGGCTACCGGAGCCCTAGGTCTGCGGAGCCACCTCAGCTCCTGGCCAGTTCTCAGAAGGAAACCATTCCACAGACTAGGAATGTCCCCGTGAGGGACATTAAGAAAAGGTGCTCTCCTGCGGTGTCCCCTGGGAGCCAGCCGGGTCTCTCCACTTCCCTGTTGTGTTTCTTTACCCCTGATGTCAGAAGGGCAAGATGGTGGCTCTTTCAGAAGTAGTTGTCCCAAATATCCCTCACCAGCTTGTCAGTAGCGTCATAATCTTTATAACTGGCCACGTCTGGAGAATGCTGGGGTGTGACGCATGGCTATTGGGGAGCATTTCTCCTATTGTCACGTGGCTCCGGTGACACGGTGCAATGGGTGTGGCAGTGATAAGCTGGGCACTGTCCAGAGGCCACTTTCCTAGGTACACGGCTTCTTGACCAGTTAGCGGTCAGCCTGGGGAGGAGGGACAGTTCCACCCACACCAGGACAATCGGAGCATGTGACGCTCCTGGATGCTCTGCTTTGCTCTGGGAGGGGACACATGATCTGAGTGTCCTCCAGGTCATCATATCTGAGTTGGGGCCTCAGCGCCCCTTCCCCTCTTCCCAGAGGTTCAGGTGCCTCTTCCCTCCACGGGAAGGAAACGTCAAGGCCACCATCTGTGCCAGGCGAGAACGCTGCTGACCACAGACTGGCACCCCAGCCTCCTTCCCGTGGCTGTAGGAGCAACCCATTGTCCCCTCCTTTTTTTGGCCTAAACCCTTTTAAAAGTGGCTTCTGTCACCTCCAACCCCAGTCCTGACTAATCCATGGAGAAAAGACTCCCCTGGGGAGCCTCCAGCCTGCTGCCTTGTCCTCTCCTCAGGCCACCACCTGGACAACCTGTAGGCTAATCCTCGCCAGCACGTCCGTACCACTGCAGTGACCACAACACTCAGGTAAATAGTAGGAGATCCTGGGACCCAAATACCTTCTTCTGTAGAGACAGCAATTAACATGTTCAAAGAAGAACGATTATCGGCTGGACAGGCTGTTCAAATCACCGATGGGCCAGAGGGGTCCCAACACATTTTTAGGAAGCGGCTCTGCGACACTATTTCAGTGATCAGCAACTGGGTGAAAAACGAGGAAAACAAGAATTGGCAGCTTGAGGCCAATCAGTCAGGAAGACAGACCAGCATTTCTCTTCTCTTTTGCCCTCACTCCCAACGTGAAGAATGAGTGCTCGGACGGCGAGGACGTACATTGTCATGTCTCATTTCGAGTGGTTTCATCTCACTAATACAAACCCACTCTTAGTGACAATTCCGGCGGCTTGTATTTAATTCATTCCGTTCAATGGAATCCCGGTTGTAGAAATTCCTGATGACACCCACGTGAAAAGCGTGTTTCTTAGTTGGACAGACATGCGGGGATCCAAGGAATTCCAGCCCCGGACCCCCCCATGGTGAAAAATCAAAGTCCCACCACCCCCGTGGCCAGAAAGAAAGAAGCGTGCTGTTTCCCAGCGTGACATTCCAGGGCCTGGCTGTTTAATAAAGTTTTGTGATTGGGCTCACAGGGATTTAAACAGTTTTCCGTGTTTAACGGTTAGCTGTGGAAAGGTCCACTATAATAGTATTTTAGCACCATGAACCTGTCGAAACCAACCTTCCCAATTATTCCCAACGACATTAATAATACCGGATATTACACTAATTGCGTCCAGTTTCTATGCAGACGAGGCCCCGTGGGGCTAATTTCGCCTCTTCAGGGGCAAGCAACTCAGCCATCAGCCTGGTTTCACAAGGAAGCCCTCCTCATTACACGAGGCCAGGCTGTCAAACTTTTTTTTTTTTTAAAGGTTAATGGGCCAATCAGTCATCAATTATTTTTGCGGAATCCTTGCAAAGGGTTAAAGGGCTCAAAGCAGCTGCAACTGTTCCACATTTGGAAGTTGTTTTCAACAGGAGGCGCCTGACAAGGATGCATTTTGGGGGAGCGGTGAGAGCAGAGAAGAGACAGACAGATGCCTCCGCCTGTCTTCAGGGAAGAGGAGGACTGCCTGGTGCTTTAGCCAAGGCCACGAGGATCCAGACCTTGTGCCAAACTGGTGCAGGATGGCTCACCAGCGTTGGCGAGAGGCAGGCGTGACGTGTGCAGTGACACTGCGTCTGGTCTCTTCTGAATTTAGGACTCGGTGTGCCTGCAGAGGCCCGCTGTCCAAGGGCTTCCCTGATCCCAGTCCCAGGCTCCCTACACACCGGGGACCCAAACGCTGACGCCCATTTCTACCCACACGGCTAAGTGTTCTTCCTGACATATGTAAGATTGAACACAGG